ACACACACACACACACACACACACACACACACACACACACACACACACCCCCATTAATCCCCTCAGGGTGAGCGCCACTAGTGCCTCTGCAGACAGCCCTCTGATTTGCTGCCTGCCTCCTGATTGTCCACGGTCATTCAATGTCCTCGCTGCCCCTCGGCCCCCCATTCCTCTCGTGGACTTGGTTACTTAACGATGAACTCTCTCAGGCTCATGGGCAGCTTCAATGGACAGACATGTGATTTAGAAACTTCGGTTACCACAGGAGATTGGGAGAGGGGGAGGAAGGGGAGGAGTGCAGCCAGCTAGATGAAATCCTCAGCTTTACTTTTCCCTGGCTGCGCGGCTGCCGAGATGCAGCTCCCCCAGCAGAGGCATTAAATCTGAGTTTAGGTTAATCTGGAGGCAGTGAAGGGGCTGAAATTGAGGAAGACTGAAGGCAGGATAAAAGTATTGTTCCTTTCTCAGGGAGCAGAGTGGTAGCTTCCATTCAGAAGTCTGGCTGATTCATACACTGGGTGACTACTGATCCAAGCGGAGAGCCAGAGAAGGGGACTGCTTGGTGCCAGGTGACTGAGAGGACCAGCTCCTTATTTTCCTGTTTTTGATCTGGTGCATCTCCCTACCTCATTCCCCACTTTTTTCTCTCCTTCATCTGGATGGGAAGTCAGGCAGAATGGACAGAATATTGCTGGGGTGGATAGTTCTCTTCTGGGTAACAGGTAAGAAATTTATTCCACGATGATGTTTAACTTTTAAAAATGATTCCACTAGTAGTACCTTGTATAACCAAACCCCCTCCCTCCTGATTTTTCTGTTCTAATTCCCTATATTTGAATGTATTGAACACTCGATTATTAAATGGAAGAGGGGAGGGAGGGGGAGGTAAGAAGCTGTATTATGAGTGAGACAGAGGAAGATGCCAAATGAAATCTGAAGGTGTTTGTCTCATGGATGATGCATTCTTCTTTAGAATGTATATTCCGTCATTTCTCTCCTTGCTCCTCATAGCAGTTCTCTCTTAACGTGAGTTTATAAAGCCTTGAGTCCTGGTATGAACTCAGCTGGGAAAGGAGGACTCAGAAGAGACAAAAATTAGGGGAACTGAATTCTTAAAGAAAAAGCAATCTTTAATTCTTTCCCTAAAGAAATATTGAGACTCAGAGTATTTTCCTTATTATTCTTGACTGGGGGATGTACAGGGGGGAATGGGAATGTTTTCTCTTATTCCTGGTAGAAGTGAGGGAGGGGCCACAGTATCATAGAAGAAAGGGCCCCAGCTAATGCACATCATCCTTCATGTTCAAGCCCCCCACTTTCATTCTTTTCTGTCTTCCTCCCTTCACCTCCCCTAAACAAAGATTGTACAGAGGGATTTGGAATAAGGTCTATAATTATATGTGGAAAAGTATTGGGCAAGAAATTCAACAATCTCAGCCCAAGTTCCTTATCTATAAAAGGGAGAGGGGTTAAAGGAGTTGATATCTAAGGACCCTCACCAGCTCTAAATCGGTGGTGGTGTTGGGGACGATGATGATGATGATGATGGTGGTGATGATGATGATGATGAAGTAGAAGAAGAAGACTGGTTCCTTTCTTTTCACCGGGGCACTGAGTTAAGATAAATTTTCTCTGTTTTAGCTTCTTGGGCCAGTGGGTTGCCCCCAAACTTTCTGCTCAGGTTAGGAAGGTATCTTTCCCTACCAAGCTTTTACACGTGATCAGTACATTTTCCTCATCATCCTGACCTGCCAACAAAAGGGAAATAAGAGTTCATCAAAAAAGGGGGGGTTCCAAAGTTTGGCACTTCTACCATAAGGGTTGTCTGCTTAGATTGGGGCACTGTAAGAGAAGAGTTGTTAAGTAAGGTTTGTGCGGCCATGCTTGGAAGGATGGCAAGAAGAGGCAGGTTGAGGTACCATTTAAGTGAGGGAGTCATTAGAAGCAAAGTTGAAGAAGTTGATATATAAACACATACACACATACAGGAAGCCAAGAGGGACACAAGAAAAGGACAAGAAAGAAAACAGCAGGAGTAATGCAACAGTAGATTCCATCTTATTTGAGGAATGGGAGTCTTCTGGTCATATTCAGGAGCTACTTTCTCCAAAGACCTCAGGGGTATGCCGGAGAATTAGGAGAGTCAAAACTCTAGGAAAATAGAAATAGATTTTAAGTACAAGTTAAATTCAAAGGTAAGTAAAAAGAGGAAAAAAAGAAAGAAAATATGCCCTTTCAACTTCAGAAAGCAGCTCCCTAAAACTTTTTTTTTTCAATTAAGCGAGTCCCTCTGTTTGTTCCTTTTGGATGCCCCTGGGTATGCCAGCCTCATTAGCAGAGTCTGACTCTTCTTTTGGCTTTTCCTCTTTACCCTTCCTCCCACACCATTTAAAAATGAATCATCTACAATTTCAGGGGTTGCCTACACTCTGCCTCTCATCAGGGTCTTGCTGATTAAGAGCACTCCCCTCCTCCCCCCCAGTCCCCACCACCTACAGCCTTTTACCTCCTCTGGTCCACCCCCAGGCTGAATCTGTCACTTTTCCTCCTCTCAGATTCTCACAGCAGGTAGCAACAGTGTTACTTAAGACGTCTAGAAGGAGGTCTGAGGAAGTATCTCCTCAGCCTCGTGGCACGGGGGCCTGTGAATCTCTTGAGGGAATAGCCCTATAAAATGGAATATTCCTATTTGTGAATAGAAGAAGGATTACAATAGGTCAGAAGTAGGAGTATTTGTAGAGCTTGTGAGTATTTGGTAAGTTTCCATAGAACAGAAATTCACCAAATACAACTTCAGAGTTGGAAAAGATTTTAGACTCTCTATGAGGTTGAGTGGCTTATATAAAGTCTTGTGAATGGTATTGAATAGCAGAGCCTGGACTATAATCCAGGTATGACTACCAGGCCAGTGTTATTTCTACTGCATGCTACTACGTGTGTATATATGTATATATGTGTATATACATATGTGTGTTGGGGGAGGGGGGTGTTATTGGTTCAGCAGTTAGAGAATAGGTAATTTTAGCTTGAATCGAGCCACAGGTTAGCAGGCCTGTGTCAGCTGACAGATGTGTCTGGAGGTATCGTTGGTTACTAATCACGAGCAAATTTATCATCCGCCTTCATTCTCCTCATTCTACTGCATCACCTCATCCCATTACTCTACTATCACTGGGTATCTGTGCATGAAGTCCATGAGCTGTCTCATGAGCTAAGGAAAGTAGAGATGACTAGAATAGGGTTTGGGAGGAGGAGAGAAAGGGTGGGTGGAGTATTATATTGATTCAAACTCTAATTCTTCTCATTTAGAAACCAAGGGAGGAAAGGTAAGGAATTTTAGTCCAGGCAAATCAATGCATTCTCTCTTGAGGGGGTGGTAGAATGGGAAAGAAAGAGGAAAGGATAGATTTTTTAAAAATGAGACAGTGCCAGAAATATATTCTCTCTCTCTCTCTCCTCCCCCCTCCCTTTCTTCCTCCCTTTCTCTCTCTCTTTCTCCCCCCCTCTCTCCATCTCTCTCTCTCCTTCTCCCTCTCTCTTTCCTTCTCCCTTTCTCCTCACCTCCCTCTTTGAGGTAAGCTGAGAAATTTCAAATCAGTCCTCTAGCTTTTTCCTCAGGTTTCAGCAGCTAATTCCTCTTTCTTTAATTGTGAAAATCATTGTTTCTGATGTGTTTAGTCTCATGATTTATCATTGTAATTGTGATGCTTCCTGTGTTGCATCATTTTTTTAAACAAAACAAAACAAAACAAAATGATCACCAGCTGCTATTATAGCAACAGGTGTTAATCAGGCAATAATAGTGGAAGGGAGGTTTCAACGTCTTTGTTCCCTAAATGTGGTGGCATTTCACCCTTTCCTGAAGGTAGAGGATGTCAGAAATCCTAGAGCAGTGGGACACACTGGGAGCAAGCAGATGTTTCGTCCTTGTTATGTGACCCTTTAAATTCTCTTGGGTATTTGCTTGCTTGCTATGTTAGCATTTCCAGCATTTCTTGGAGATTCACTCTGGGCTAAGTGAGTATGGTCATTGGTCCCAGGGAGTAAGAATTTCCTGGGACTTTGCTGCTAATACAATTTTCATTTGCCATATACCTGGTCTCTTCCCTCTTCTTGCTCATTTCAACTTCTTTCTCCTGACCTGTTTTTCCCAAAGGGCTAACATTTCAGGAGTGCTTGTAGCAGCCCTCCTTCTTCCCATCCTTGCCTCTGATATGGATCTATTACAGTGGAGCCAGAAATATGGGCTACTTACAGCGTCCCCTTACCTCTGTTGTTGTTGTTTAGTGGTTTTTCAGTCCTGTCCAACTCTTCATGGCCCCATTTGGGGTTTTCTTGGCAAATATACTGTGGTGGTTTGACATTTCCTTCTCTAGCTCATTTCACAGATGAGGAAACTGAGGCAAACAGGGTTAAGTGACTTACTCAGGGTCACATAGATAAGAGACCTCTACTAGATGATTAGTTAATGTTAACTTTGGTTATTATGAGTAATGTCAATGCTGGTGATTATTGTGATGGTGATCAGTGACCTAGAAATCAGAGCCTGAAAGCAGCTGTCATAGGTTTATTTGATAAAAAGTCCACAATGAATAGCCATAAGGTGGCATAGGCCTTTCCGTCTCTTCCAATCTAGTCAATGTGAAAACTGAACACAAGCAGGGGAATGAACTTTCTTGTGGAGTAACAGTCTGATGATTTGGTGCAGAAAGTAGTATCAATTCTGGAGGATTAAATTGGGTGCTGTTGGGGAGTTGTGAAGTGTGACAAGGCCATTGGAAACAAAGTTTATACCCTAAGGGAAGAAAAAAATGACAAATATCTTGTGTGACCACCAGTTATCTGGGACTCTTGCCAATCTTAACTTCTTTTCTCCCTGCCCCAAGGCCTCTCTCTTTTTGTCTGTTACTCCTTTCATTATCTCCCTTTCTCTTCTAGTTCCTCTCACCCCCTAGTCAGGACTATGAAGAAGCCATATTTTAACAAAAAACAATAATGGTATGTTGCTTTTGTCAAAGTTCTTTCACATATATTATTTAGTTTGTCCTTACAAGAGCCCTTGTAAGTTAGGCAGGGCAGGGATTATTTGGGGTACACTAGAGGTGCAATGTTCTGGGCCTGGGATAAGGAGTAAGCTTTTTTAAGTGCCTGGATCTAAAAAGAGGGTAACCTGTTCTTTGGCAAGGCTGGATCCCACAAGAACCCCTAATTTTAAATTTGTATTTATAGCATTCTGCCAAAGGCTTGAGGTACCCTAGTTGGGACATGGGGGAAATTCAGGGAGATCATTTTTTTTAAAAGTGCAGACCACTGAAATACTCAAACAATCCTGTTGTATATCAGTTTGGATTTTCCCTCCAGTGATGCAGATATCAACCTATCCTTGTGTGCCAATTCTATGGGACTTTTAGCCATATCCTACCATGAATTTGTTATAGTGTATCTACCCAATGTGCTGGGAGTCTGCTTTACTTTCCCTTGCCATCATCATACCAGTGAACAGAGTCACCTTTGTCTATTGGTTATTGCTACATGACCAGCCTATCTTCTTTATTAATTATACAATTATTTGATGAATTTTTGAGTTCTTCTTTGATGTTTCTTCTGTTCTTTTAGCTTGCTCATGCTCACCTTATTCCTCTCCATTCCTCTCTGAGTACACTATAAAAAATAGGGAAGTACATTAGTGTTCCTAATAAGTCTTGAGATGTGTGGAAACATC